TTGCCCCCTCGAGTAAAGTCTGTCCAAGGAAGAACCTTTCTCATCGTGTGGCCTCTACTCCACACTTTGCCCGCCCCCGTGCAAACCACTGCTTCCCTCCAGTAAACACCAAATCACTGTCAGTATGTAAATGAACTTTTCAGTAACCAGGTTAACTATGAGGTTTTACACTCAGGTGATCAGTAGTCTGGCCAGTCATACTAACTTACATCAGGTGTAAATCAGTTTGGAGAGGATCAGACAGTGTGTTCTAAAACAGACTGACTAACCCATAAGGCAACAGCACTTTTCTTTAACTGTAACAGTCATGATTAAAGCTGCAACCTTGCACTGATGCAAATGCATCAGTGCAATGAATTGGATATATCTTCAAAATAGCAACAATGGACAACTGTAAGAACTTTCTTTTTCAAACAGATGTTTTTGCTTTTTTTTATTGGTTCTTACCCTTGGCTTGCTTTTAAAACTGGCTCTACCCATCTCTTTGACTAAGTCGCCATGTATACAGCCAGTTTGGTTGGCCAGACTAGGGTCAGAACTGAAGCAGTTACAGTAAATCTTAAGTAAGCAGCAAATTTCTGTAATTTGCTGAAGCAGTTTCTGTCATGAGATACTTGACAAAACAAGTTACAACAAAAAACTAATGTTAATGCAGTCTCTATTTGTTCTGTCAAGTGGGATATGCTACACATTTCTAATCACAGTATGAGCTCAAGGACATGTTTCTAAATCACAAATGCAAAGTTCCTGCTTTGCACTTCTCCACTCCTCATGTTACTGAATGGGAAAGCAGAGCAGCCCCTTTCATTACCTTAGACAGGTAATGACAGATTTTGTGGACTCCCAAAATAGACTTGATGCACAATAACCACAAGGCTAAACATTATAGTGCTGTTGATAAAAAAAAGGGGGAGGGTTAAGAGGCCTTTTAACAAATGCTACTGAGAAATGCTTGCAATGTCCCCTGAATATCTACATTATGTACATAACACACCTTTTGCAATCATTGAAATCCATGATAACAAAGCCTTGTCTAGCTATTCCCTGGATGTTTGACAAGTTTAATCAAGAGAAGGCTAAGAGAAACAGACAGACAGATAGCAAATTAAAATTACAATTTCAACTATCCCTCAAGGATTTTTGAGTTAAATAAATAAAATAAATATATTTTTTTATTACAGCATCCTACTCAAGATCTTTCTACATGAATACTGTTATGTTACTCTGAGATATGTGCTCTATATACAAAGACATAGCAAATGCACACAGATGTGCAAAATAAACTTGATACTAGAGCCCTAGTCAGGTGGGTTTTTTAAAGCAGACAACAACCTTTGTAAGAAAAATCCAAAAAACACTTAGGCATATCCACAGTAGGATAAGTGAATGCTGGGAGATACCCATGCATTAAGTCAATCAAATAATGGAACCCTTGAATTCCTCAGCTAAGGGAACATAAATACACACACTTATAGACATATGTGAAAACATTTGATTATTTGATTAGTGCTAAACTGCAGGGGATTAAAGCGCTTTTCAAACAGACAAGTCCTTTTCTGTAACAACTGAGATCACATGCTTTCAAGGTCTGTGATGATCAGGCTTTTAAAAACTTTAATCAAGTTTGTCTCTTTTCATACCATCTAATCCTACAAATGGTATTAGAATTTTCACTAAATAGCTCTCTGGTCTTATCAAGTGAATAGGGCTGAAACAATTAATTATGAATAATCGATTATTGAAATAATCAACTAATTTAGTTATTGATTAATCGTTAACTGGTGTATAGAGACTCTAAAACATGCCTTTAGCTAACAGAGCAACACACTTAGAGCAGTAATTATACAAGAATATTTTCTACAAAACCTCACCTGGACCTCACTGCAATTGGCCTGTGGATGCTTGAAATCTAACAAAAAAGGTGTTATACATATACTATTATTATTCTTATGCTAAGAAGAGTAATAGAAGTTGACAGAGTTTATCAAAGTAAAACCACTAATTTTATGCCGTCAATCATTAGTTTTTAACAGTACAGAGGCCCAACCTCTTGATCGCATAAACCTAAACTAATACTATATTTGAAATAGTGGAGAAAAAAAAAAAAAAAAAAAAACGAATTAGGCAGCAAAGAAATTCCACAATTTCTTGAAGCCATTTTTGTTAGATTTTGCGAATTTGGATAGACTGAATGAAATTACTTATTGATGAATTAAAAAAAGTGATAAACAATGCTTTTAGCACAAAACAGCACTAAAGTTACACAGTCATTTGACATCATTTTTGTTAGACTTAAAGAAAATGGTACGGTGCATCTTAACTCAGGTCAACATTTATGGATGTCAAGTAGAGTAACTAATTATTTTGTATACTATTTTTTTTATCCTTAGTTAAGTTCATATCTTTTTAACTTGCAATTTACTTTGGCTTAACTAAAAACATATATAAAAAAAACATTAAATCCTAACAAGTTTATAAACAAGACATAATCGTATCACTTATGGAATTGTCTATATGTATTGAAATGTATCTGTCTTTTTGGTCAAATCAAGGTATTCTTCTGTATAAGGAAAGTATATGTTAATTTTGCCGTGATGTCACTTTTTAAAAAATCTACTGCACTCAAGCTATGTATTGTGCAGTATAACACAGAGTGTTTTTCACTAGAGGCAGCATACCCTGCAACAGCACTGAAGTGCAAAGCAGATGCACAATAGTGTTACTGGATAATACTAATTAATATAAGTAGTGACCTCTTGGTCTGAACTAAAGAGTGTACACAAACGTTCCCAAGAGACTAGCTCTTTTGACAACCAATATAAGGATGTTTTTTGTGATTCCTCCTGAGAGGGTGAAGCCTATTCACACTCCTAACTTCAACTTTTGCCACCTCCCACTCAAACCAACACCTCAAAGGAAACAAAACAAAACATATTTAGAGGCATAGCTGGCATTATAGCAAAGCTTTCTTAGGCAATGAAGAATCTCTACAAAAATATTATAGTAATGCTAAACAGAGTAAAAGACTCTGGCTTCACACAACCCTTAGTTTTAAACATTAATATTTAGTAAACATGTAAGTAGCTGTCAGAAGGCTGTAAGGAAAAACTCTAAGTACTTACTATATATATCAACAGGCATTCTAGACCACTTCCTCTTAAAAGTTTGCCTTTTTGAATCTATAAAACCTGACTATCTTTGAAAACAGTCTGCACATTTTTGTTTTGTTGAATGTGCATATATCTTTTTTCACATATATGTTAATTTTTTTCATTTATCAGATTTGAACAAAAACAAATGAAACAAATAGGAAGAAGATTCTCAGATATGTTACTGTCAAAGAAAATTGTTGTGTTAATAATGAATAGAATAGAGATAAAAAAAAAACCCTCGTATTATTCACTAGCTTTACTAGGAAGCTTTGTTTTTGACGCATGCATTACAAAAAGTTAATTTTCTTTATTTAAACTTAACTTCTTTGCATCTAGAAATAACTGTTAGTCTTTTTCCTAAATCTACATTCTTTAACCCATCTGTTGGCTTTTAATTTTAGTTTAATTGCAGTGCAGCTGTTTGTCCCATATCTTTAATAGTTTACACTAGGACTGCAACTAATTACTATTTTGCTAATCCATTAATCTGTCTAATCTTCTTTTTCTATTAATCGATTCATAATCAGATGGCAAAAAGTTTCTTGAAGGAGATTTTACTAGAATTTATAGCAAGTGAATCCTTTAAGGCCTTCTGGATAGAGAATATTAATGGACTAGAAAGTTCTTTTTTAATCTTGAATGGAAAATCTTTATATTTTTTTTTACAATTTTGGTATTATAACTCCTTTAAGTGGGTTGCTCTATCAGCTAAAGGCACCTTTTAGAGGCTTTAAACTAAAGTTAATGATTAACTGATTACTAAATTAGTTGACAATGATTTAAATAATTAATTAATCCTGATTTGATTAATTGTTTCAGCCCTATTTTACACAAAATCCTTTCACAAGTAGAATGTGACACAGTGCATTGCTATCAGTCATACATGCATTCCAAGTATGAGTGAGATGTGATGTGTTCAAATATTTGTTCACTTGCATTTTCAAACAAACCTCTGAAGTCTAAAGCTGTATTTACACTAAGATGACCCACTGTGTATGATTGCATAGGTTTTACTGAAACCTATGCAATCATACACAGCTGGACTCAGCAAATACCTAAAAGCCATTTGGTTGTTCTGCATTTTATTTTGGGGTATCAATGTAACGGGGGCAAAAATACCTATGCGTATTGGATCTTTCAGATTACTTTGATGAAGTTGTTTAAAAACCTTGTAAAATTAAACTTTACAGTGATGTGCTACTTTGTGCTGATTTATCACAGTACTTCCCATTAAAATACATTAAAGTTTGTGGTTGTATCAACACAGAATGTTTACAAACACTATATTTAGGAGTATGAAAAACATGTCATCTAAAGAGTCCCCACCTGAAACCCCCCCCAAACAGCTAAAGGTTATATAGTTCAAACAGGCCTGAGGGGGTGCCTACCTGGACATAATATAATATATTTGCTTATTTTAATGTTTTGCAGCTGGAAGCAGTCCTACAGCTGAGTGAAGGTGCACAATCAAAGGCACTGTAGCATGACTCTAACCCCAGGGCTTTGTGAGAGTCATGCTACAGTGCTGAAAAACTATCCTGGCAAATTTCCAATAAACTGTATAGTGAATTAGGAAAGTTGCAGCAGAATCTATTGCATCTCCCTCCAATTATAACTCACCAGCTTAATGCTAGTTTGGATGGTTAAACATTTATTTGGTTATAACTGTTGCTCATTTCCCCTCTCCATTGAACATTTACAAACTGTATCATTCATTTGTTACACAAAATAAAATATCTACCTCAGATCATTATGTCTTTGTTGTATATTACAACCACATCTATAAATACGTAGGCTGCGTTTTTTAAAACTTAGATATTGGAGAGAAAAGAAATAAAGTCATCTCACCGGTGGTTATGCTGTTGCCTCTCAGCACCTTGGCATTGGCGACCTGAGCATTTCCCATTCTGCTAAAAGTCCCCAGAAATAAAACTATCCACATCTGGAGAATCAGCGCTCTCCTCATGGTGTTGCTTCAACTTTTGGCCTTTCTCACAAACTTTTTCTTTCACTTTCTAATGATTCGGCGAACTAATAATTCCCTGCGAACCTGACAGTCCAGATCGCTTTCCTTTCTACAGCACTCGCATCTGCCAGTGTTGTCCCCTGTTTAAGTGAAGGAAATAAACGTGTTGACTCCCTGACGCTCCTGATGCGCGGACACAATGTCCAAAGTAACAAAGTGTGGTAGAAGTAGAAGTTGCCTTGCTGCACAAACCGAGGACAAACTCCGAAACGAGGATGAGCAGGTGGAGGATTTATATCCCCGCTCACGGTCAGACATGAGATTATAGGCGCCGGACTTCTTATCACCGTGAAAGCAAAAACATTCAAGTCAGTCGCCGGCAAATAGTTTCTAACTAACGCATTCACACTAAAAGTCGGCGCGCCTCAAAGTTTGCAAATAGCGCCACGCGCTTCTCCTACACATGGACGAGTGCGGATATGTGCGTATTAATCCGGTTACTTGAGATGTTGGTACAGAGGTCAGGAGACTATTCAGATTTGGATTTTGATTAAAGTTATATGTGAGTTATTTTTAATCTTACTTCCAACTTGAAGTAGAGTTTTGGCGCAGTCCATCCAGAATCTTTGATGACTCAGAAGATTATGGGTATTTTTTATATATTTATTCTTATTATTATTATTATATATTTAGATCTCTCTCTCTCTCTCTCTCTCTCTCTCTCTCTCTCTCTCTCTCTCTCTCTCAAAATATATATGATGGGTAAAGATAATCAGTTTAATAGACCTGGGATTAGCTGTCAAAATACTGGAGAAAAGCTGCAAAGCATTAGTCAGCTGTTTTAAGAAGGGTTTGATTGCTGTCAGAAAATGACAATTCTTGTTGAGGAAAAGAAACCCAAATTTTTACCTGTAAAAAAAATATGAATAAAAATAGAAAAGCTTTGCTATAAACACTCCTTTTGCATTGTTTTTGACTGATTTCCAATCAGAATCAAACCTCTTGTCTTCTTGAAAGGATATTTATTTCAAACTCAATTCCCCTGACTTATGATTAATTTTAAATAAACATTTTGTTTTTAAATACATTTATTTGATACCAGCAAGTGAAATTAAAGCTATTGGTTTCATATTGCATAAAATAATCTCCGTATGAAAACTGAGATCACACTTAAATGGTCAGATATTGCATAATGCCCTGGAAAACTGTTTATTTCATCATATTCAATTGGACAGAGTATGGCTCAACAGTAAACATTTAAAATACTATTAAATAACTATTATTGACAGACAAAACAAACATAAAAGCACATTTAAAGCTTTTACTACATAAAAAATGAAGTTGTGCATACATGAGAAAAGTTACATACAATATATCATAACAAAATAACTGTAAATATGGTCCCACTATGGTGCTGATTGTTTGACAAGAGAACACGGATTCTCCAAGATCATTAAATATTCTTTAGTGTAATTGTAGACACAGATCATTTCAGTGCTCAACTGCTATGGTTTAAGTAGAAGAAGTATTAAATGTTTACATTAATCTCCAATTTAGCAATATACTGCTTAAAATAAGTTCAACATGTGATGAACAAGTTTCCTCTTAAGGGATCAGATTAGTGTTGTCATTTTAGTATCTATGTATTTATAGGAGTGTGACAGATTATTGTGGTATAAGATGTTTTAATGTGAAATTAACAAAAGGAATATCCCGGTCTGATATTGATATCAGAAATCAGTCCGAAACTAGCCAAAAAAAAAACAGTATAGTCATGTTGGTAGAAACACTCCACTTATGCTTAAAGTTTATTTAACACATAGGTTAATAATACATGGATAAGTTGTTTTCATACCCATTGTTGACTATTTTCTGTTTGACTAATATAACTCGATCAAGCCTTTTCTAATATTGAACACTACAAAAAGGTAATAAAAATACCTAAAATCTGTGCTAATATCTAATCAGATAATTTTGGTCAATCCTCAAAACTGCTATTTTGGTATCAGAAATTANATCTTACTTCCAACTTGAAGTAGAGTTTTGGCGCAGTCCATCCAGAATCTTTGATGACTCAGAAGATTATGGGTATTTTTTATATATTTATTCTTATTATTATTATTATATATTTAGATCTCTCTCTCTCTCTCTCTCTCTCTCTCTCTCTCTCTCTCTCTCTCTCTCTCAAAATATATATGATGGGTAAAGATAATCAGTTTAATAGACCTGGGATTAGCTGTCAAAATACTGGAGAAAAGCTGCAAAGCATTAGTCAGCTGTTTTAAGAAGGGTTTGATTGCTGTCAGAAAATGACAATTCTTGTTGAGGAAAAGAAACCCAAATTTTTACCTGTAAAAAAAATATGAATAAAAATAGAAAAGCTTTGCTATAAACACTCCTTTTGCATTGTTTTTGACTGATTTCCAATCAGAATCAAACCTCTTGTCTTCTTGAAAGGATATTTATTTCAAACTCAATTCCCCTGACTTATGATTAATTTTAAATAAACATTTTGTTTTTAAATACATTTATTTGATACCAGCAAGTGAAATTAAAGCTATTGGTTTCATATTGCATACAATAATCTCCGTATGAAAACTGAGATCACACTTAAATGGTAAGATATTGCATAATGCCCTGGAAAACTGTTTATTTCATCATATTCAATTGGACAGAGTATGGCTCAACAGTAAACATTTAAAATACTATTAAATAACTATTATTGACAGACAAAACAAACATAAAAGCACATTTAAAGCTTTTACTACATAAAAAATGAAGTTGTGCATACATGAGAAAAGTTACATACAATATATCATAACAAAATAACTGTAAATATGGTCCCACTATGGTGCTGACTGTTTGACAAGAGAACACGGATTCTCCAAGATCATTAAATATTCTTTAGTGTAATTGTAGACACAGATCATTTCAGTGCTCAACTGCTATGGTTTAAGTAGAAGAAGTATTAAATGTTTACATTAATCTCCAATTTAGCAATATACTGCTTAAAATATGTTCAACATGTGATGAACAAGTTTCCTCTTAAGGGATCAGATTAGTGTTGTCATTTTAGTATCTATGTATTTATAGGAGTGTGACAGATTATTGTGGTATAAGATGTTTTAATGTGAAATTAACAAAAGGAATATCCTGGTCTGATATTGATATCGGAAATCAGTCCGAAACTACTGTTGCCAAAAAAAACAGTATAGTCATGTTGGTAGAAACACTCCACTTATGCTTAAAGTTTATTTAACACATAGGTTAATAATACATGGATAAGTTGTTTTCATACCCATTGTTGACTATTTTCTGTTTGACTAATATAACTCGATCAAGCCTTTTCTAATATTGAACACTACAAAAAGGTAATAAAAATACCTAAAATCTGTGCTAATATCTAATCAGATAATTTTGGTCAATCCTCAAAACTGCTATTTTGGTATCAGAAATTAGAAAGCTGCATAAGGACAGTGGTGGACTAAGTACTCAACATTAATACTTGAGTAAAAGTAGTGATACTCATAGTCAAATATAGGTAAGTTCAGAAGGTTTTGAAAAATATGTTGATTTAAAAGTTCTCAAGTGTTGAAAATAGAAATTATGTTTGATAATATCAGTACATTGCTGTATAACTTTCAGAGCAATTTCAAAAAAATCCTGTAACTTTCAGGAACCCTCTGATGTATTGATGAATAGAACTGCTCTACTACAAGTTTTACACCACATGTGAAGAACCTGAGCCACCTCAGCATATAAATTCTCTCTCACACTTTTGTTATGGAATAGAGGTTGAAGGTTAAATCTGATGCCATAGAAAAACTCCAACTCTGCTTTGAGAACTCATCTACTGAACAACTTAGCCACATGGCAACAACCAACACCTTAATAAAATGTATACTCTCCAAATAATATCTGCCAAGTTTCTCATATTTGTGGAACGTCATGCAAATCTCTAAAACAGTGGTGTCCAATTCAGTCCTAATGGCTGCTAGCTTGCATGTTGAAATTCAATTTTGAGAAACAAAAACAGCAACAGCGAATTACAAAGCTAAGCTGAGACAAAAGTAACAAGTAACTAACAGCTTTCTCAAAGTTAGTGGAATATAAAGAATGATATTTGACTTTGAAACGTAGTGGAGTGCAAGTTATAAGTACCCCCTCCTCAAAAAAAAAATTCAAGTAAAGTAAAACAAGTAAAAAAAAGTACATGCGTATAGCAATGAAGTAAATGCACTTTGCTACTTTCCACCACTTTATATCGACCTCCCTATTTAAATGAGCTTTTAAGTTAACTAAATAAATTCTTTGGCCTCTGGGTCATGGCAACCACAAATCTGGCTTACTGTAAATTGGAGGCAAACAGACCTTTGCACTGTTTTTCTGAAAAAAATTCAACTCAATGCAAGAGCCTTTGTCAAATTTGTTGGCTCGCACTGATGCCATGTATAGTTAAGAAGGTCCATGAAAGTCCATGCTCCTGAGCACATTCCAAATCATATGCAGCTCAAATACACCAGAACAGCTGACTGTATTTACTAAATAAAGCCAGCTTGCACATGTCCAATATCCATCAGTTTGTGTTAAATTAGGGCTCATTAGATGGCTAAGCCCAAAACAAATTTCAAATGAAATGAATGAATTCCCTATTCATTTGTTTTGTAAATATATTTTATTAAGTATGGCAATCAAATATCAATATTGAAATGTTGGTCATGTTGTCTATATTATTTTATAAAATGAAATGCAAAAAATACTGTTTCTAACATTTTCATTGTGGGCTCACACTGATAATCAAATGAATAAATGATGCATGAATTCAAAATCCCAGCCATTTTGTTTTCTTAAAGCAGATGTGTACCTCTTGAGCCAGATTTTCCTTCTTGAGAGGAGGTGTAAAAAGGATCACACTCTTTTCTTGCAAATCATGTTAAAACAACATATTTTAAAATCTATAATAAGCTTTTTTGAATTAAACTTTTATAAAACCATTATTG